CACCAGTCTGCAATTTTCCATTCTTCAGGAAGTGCTGAAGTTGCTGGATTATCGTCATTCTGTCGCTGCTTGAGAGCTCTCGGTTGATGCGTTCGACATGATACACCATGGCGGCAAATTTGAAATTATATTGGATTTTAGTATGTGACGTGTTTTTATTCGTATGGCTGATGTTTGAAGTCGTCATTTCAACTAGATGATTCACTTTTCGCGCTTCGCAGCCAATACATGGTACCTTCAGTTTTTTATTGCCTTTAAAATAATATATCCTGCAAGAAAATTGGATTAGAAATGAATTTTTGGGGTCGATGAGAAGTCCCAATGACACAGTAATATGGAACAGAGGAAGTATGATAAATGATCTTACATTCCTGACCAAGTTATCGAATTATGAAGGTTGTGTATTAAATGGTGTGGGAAGGTCATCAAATTCAATACTGTATAATTGAAAAATAGTTTATGGTAAATGACTGGAAAATTGGACATGCATTTTCTGATGCGTAACAAATTCCCGCTGTTTTTCGAACAACTGTGTCGACACCTGCAGAAATCCATTGACAGTGGCGATGGCCGCCGCGAGTCCGACGCCCACTCCACCGGTGCGATACAATGCACTATCGACACCCGAGTACGCTGTTCGTATGCCTCGCCAACTCTGCCGTTGACTCTTTCATACACAGGCTGGACGGGACAGCGGAACCGCCCCGGTGGAACATGGGACAACACCCTGATGACGGAACCCGTCCCATCGAGTTGCCCGTGTTGCCGGATGGCAGCCAACAGCAAAGCATGAGTGGCGGCACCAAGGCCAACTCTCCTGACGTCCCCATTGGCAAGCTCGAAATCCAAATGCATGAAGACGCTCTACGGCCAATCGTGACACCGTCCAAATACAGACGTGCGTACAGCACGATTCGCTGGCACTCTTTCTAACACTATCTTCACGAACAGCCGACTTCAAGTTTAACATGGAGCTGGCGCTGCGGACGGCGGTAGGGGTGGTCATCGCGTCCATGGCCCTCACAAAGAGCTCCGACTCAACGACGACTCGATCGCAGTGGGTGTTTTTCCCCGAGTGGTACATCTTGGGTGGGCTGTCGTACGTGGCGACGGCGACGGTCTTTGGATGTGGCAGGAATATCGGGTCGACGATTCGCGAGTTGTTCCAGCAACTTACTGGCGTTGGCCTCGCGTTGCTCTTCAATTTGCTGCTCTTTTCACACTTTGAACCGCAAGTGTTCGACACCGCCGCCGAACGTACGTGTCAGTCTCCAATTTCCCGCCACCCATCGTGCCATCCCAACGTGTGTATGTGTAGTGGAAGCCGCCAAGGCGGACGGAACTCTCATCCGCATCTCCAACTCGTTCAGCGGCAGCCCGTATTACGTCCACGAGCGCGATTTTTACACAATATTGCCATTTACAATGGGGCTTACTCTCGTGGCCCTGGTGCTGCCGATGGTACGGTCCGTGGCTGTTTTGAGTAGTTTTGGCCAAGCATCACGTCTAGGAGACCAATACGAAGAAGTACTTGCTCGGCAACAACCTGTACTTTGCACTGACGCTGGTGAGCCCCAACGACTTGACAAACCCCGCGTTGCTGAAAGCGCCAGGCGATGACCTGTATCGAACGTCCAATCTGCTGCGCAATTTGATGGTGTACCTGGTGCTGGGGGTCGCCGGTGCGTGCATCGCGCAGGTCGTGTTATGGGTGCCGTACCCAATCTTTGCGATCCGTCAACTTCAAACACACACGATGCAGTGCGCCGACATGGTCGAGGAGGTGCTCAACCTGTTGGTGGACACATACTGTTTTAAAAACAAAGACGTGGACCACATGAACTTTGTCAAACTCAAGCTCCAGCGCAAGTTTGACGTGGCCGAAGCCAAGCTGGCCGACATGACGACGCTCCTGAGCGACGTGTGGTGGGAGCAACTCGTTGGTCTCCACGTTCCTCTCCAATTTTGCAAACCGGCGACGAAGCCGTTCGTGGAACTGTTTGGTCACCAGCTGCAGAACCTCCGCGCATTGAACCAAGCGATTCTGTGGGAGCGGTACGACGCCTTGCACGACGACTTCATGAAAGCGCTCCAGAAGCAAGTGTATCTCGTCCAGCTGCATGCGACCAAGGTCCTGGACGAAATCGCCGACGACGTGCACCGCCACGTGGATGGTACTGCTGCTTTCCGCCATGCAAACGCAGTGCGTTGTCGGGTGTTGGTTGGTTGCATGCAAATACTCATCGGCGCCGTGTCCGAGTAGAAATGGCGCTGCGGGAGCGCGCCAAACTCGAGCAGCACGTGGAGCAGCTATTGGCCTTGCACCATGCAACACAGAACAACCTCTTTCACAAGCATAGCCCGATGCCGGCCCAAGTCGAAGCGATGGTCCCCCTCAACTTGTTTCTGTTTACGCTGCAGGCGTACTGCACGACGTTAGTCGAGTTCGAGGCAACGTACAACAGCAAGACCCGGCAAACTGTACGAATATGTGATGAATGGTGTGTGCTGTATCGACCTGACATGCGTCTGTCGTCGAGGAGCAGCGGCGACGAATCGTCAAGTTCGTCGAGAAGAGTGCCAAGTCGTATCTGGATGCGGCCAACTACACGCGCGAGAAGCTGCAAATGGCGGCGAAAGTTTGGTTCGCCATCTTGGCCGCGTGCTTCTTCTCTGTCTACACATTTGGGTATTCATCCACGACCGCCGGCGCCGTCGCCTACGTCATGGGCAATCACATCGGTACACATCGTGCCACCTACCGTCTCCATTTCTTGAATGCCATGCGTGTGGCACAATCAAGCCAGCCACCCGTTTTGCAACAACCTCGACGTTGGGGCGTTCGATTCCAGAGAAATCACTGCATTTTGGACTGGTCTTAGCTGTTTGGAATCCTGTCTTTCCTGGCAACATTCGCCTACTCTGCTGCCCTTGCGAGTCGCCGAGGCGTGTGCTGAGGTTGTAGTCTACAGAGTCCTTGGAGCCACCAATGATGGTCGAGATGCGTACAAGGAAAGCACCGATCCATCATCGTCCGTGATGTGGGAGGCTTTGCAGCTGGCGTGTGCTGGACAGTGAAATCTGTGTGATCTCTCGCCGATTGATGGAGGGGATGCTGGCGTGTGCCTTGAATTGTTTTCGTGACAATGGATGTGATGAACTCGTGACATGAAGTCAACCCACTCACGTGCGATTTGAACCAGGGGGGTCGTTTACCGTGACGGCGAATCGCGTGGGCGGCGTCATTGCCGGCAGCATTATTCCGTCCATTTGTCTCTTCTACATCTGCTCGACGGCATGCGGGAGCAATGCCGTGGTGCTGGGGGCGACCAACTTGCTTTTGTTCATCTGGGTGACGGCTTCCATGTACATCAAGTGGAAGGGCGGATTTGAGTCGTACGGTGGCCTGATCTCGGCGTTCACGGTTACCCAAGTTCTCTTGAAAGGCTGCGACGGGTGCGATACGGGGGCAGTCGCGCCAATTTCGTCGTACTCGAATTTGGCGCAAATGAGCCTCGGCATTGTGCTCTTTATCGTCGTCGAAATGGTGGTGTGCCCGCAAAGCGCTCTGGCGCTCCTTCGCGCCAACATTCAAAACCAAATGAAGCAGTACCAGCACTGCTTTAGCGTGCTGGTCGACCGGATGTTGGCCCACGACGGCCGCGACGACAACCGCAGCAGCACCGACAACGATGACATCGAAGACGTGGTGAAGGAGCAATTGCCGGCGTTGCTCGTCGAGCAGGCGGCTTTGCTCAAGGAAGCCGCATTTGAACCGCTCTTGTGGAAGCCTCCGTTTTCCACGCAGAAGTACGAGGCCGTCTTGGACTGCTGTCAGCGCTTGCTCAACAACACGCTGGTCTTGTTCAAGCTCACGGAATGGTACAAATCTCGCACGTCCGGACTGGGTGCCCGGGCAAAAGAGGCCATGGGCGGACTACATCGTCTCCCTGTCGGAGAAAACAAGGCGGAAGCGTGGGGGTTTTCAACAGCTGAAGCGAGCCGAGCCATCCATGACGCGTTCAGTACAATACACGACTTGTTTGGCAGCGAGTTTGCGTACGCCGACGGCGACCAGACCGCGCTGTTTATGCAAATGAAGGAAGCATTTCGCATGGCGGACACAGACTGCAGCGGAGAAATCGATGCGGACGAAGTCCAAGCGATGCTGGAATCGATGTTTGCCCAGTCTGGCGCAGTCAAGGTCGACGCAATCGACACGTACGTGGCCGAATTCATGCGGCTCGTGGACACGGACAAGAGCGGACGAGTCAGTTTGGAAGAGTTTGTCAGTGCACTCGAACACGGTTTGCAGGTTCAAGTTCAGGTATTCCAGCACCGCTCCGCAGCAAGAGCCATGCCCCAGCGCCAGCCAAGAATGGGGAACTCCGAGGACAAAGTGTTGGTGTCTATCGCGGAAGACAATGTAGCACCGTCGCCGCCATGGAGTGTCGACATGGCAACGGCGACAGCCATATTGGAATCACCACAGCGAAAGGTGTCAGCCGGAAGCGGAGCCAGCGCTGACAACAACCGCGTGCTGATCACTCGGGCACACGACCTCCTACTCAATGTGGACTCGTTTGGCCTCGTCGAGATCGTCCAAAAGATGCGCACGCAGTACGCGACGTGGTTGCTCGAAGGCCACCGGTACAACCGCATGACAATGGAAGAGCTCCTCACACTCAACTGCCTTGTCATGGGAGTCACGGGGCTAGCTCGCAACTTGGCGCTGCTTGAAGAAATGTCCGTGCTGCAGTAGCCCGCTTTAGCCACGACGTGCTACAAAAGGCACGCCATGAAAAAGCACACGTCGAGAGATGCGGCGGAGTTTGAATCGCAGGTTGATGATATCCATGACGGTCGCGTGCGACCATATCTTTTCCGGTGGCATTTCGGATAGTGCAGGACGTTCGAACTGCTTGCGGTG